GGATTTTCATTTGCACGTGACTTTCTTTCCTCTTTTGATTGCAATCTCCTCTTCTCTTGAGGGAGTTTTTTTTGCGAGGTATACTGTTTCCGTATGCAATAGACAACAATAAACTACAGAAGAACTCATAATCGCTGCATTTAAGTATTGCATTAATATTTAAGCCTACCTTTTAAAAGTTACCTATGTATATATATATATATATATATATATATATATATATATATATAATGGAATCCTTATTAATAAAAACAATAAACCCAACACTCAATAATATCAACTATGAACATGGACACACTATCTTGACCGTGTTTTGAAAGAAAAAAATGAAAACATTATATAAATACCTACATGCAACAAACTATTTCTTATTTAACAATTAAAATATTTCATCCTTGAAAATGGCAAAATGTATAGCCGAAAGCGCTCAGAAAAAAAGAACATTCGGACAGTTTGTATATAATTTATCATCCGAAAAGAAAAAAAATTATTAGAACACATGAGAAATTGTATAAAAAAGCTAAATCAAAGCACATTATCTGTCGTATTCAATGAAATGTGCATGAAAGAAGGATTGCTGCCAAAATACACAAACACACACACACACACACACACACACACATATATATATATATATATATATATATAAATAATATAAGCTTACCTAGGTGAAAAACTAGCGATGATTTATGAGAGCTGTGCAACATCTAGAGTTGTTATATTCTGCACTTTGCTCTTACTTGCGTATTTTTCTCTCCTTCTTTTTTGCTGCGACCCATTTTATCTATCTCGCAACCCACTGAAGGCTCGGGACCCACAGTTTGAAAAACCCTGTTCTAATCAATGCTCAAGTGGTTAAGCATCATACTTCTCATGACCTTCTTTCGAACAAACAAAAATGTCTCCCGTTTCGCCAGGTCTACCCCCGATGTGCTAACGACCATCACTGGATTTGTATATCAAGCTTTAGATAAGAATGGCGAAGCTTGGGTTGTGGCTCTAGATATCTCAGAGGCGATCGACAGAGTTTGGCATGCTGGCCCTCTACAAAAACTCTAGGCCGATGGCGTCACAGGGAGAGTATTTGGTTTAATCCAATCGTTCCTATAAAATTGTGTAGTGATGGTCATGTTGAATGCACTCGCTTCCAGATCCTTTCATATGAGCGTGAGGGTCCCCTATATTATTTCTGATCTTCATCAATGATCTCCCCGATGTCATCAGTTCCCAACCAGGTATTTATGCAGATGACACTACCATTTATTCCTGTATCAATAGCAAATCTGTCAGATCTGAAAAGTAAACCTGGCATTTGCTCTTGAAAAAGGCATCCAATTAGTGGTTAACTAGGACAAAAAATGGCCTGTAAATATCTCCAAAACAAAACTACTATCCTTTAACCACCACAGAGAACCTTTTCTGTCTGCCATCGGCATGGCTGACGCTAGAAGAGCAACACACTACGCCTTCTCGGCCTCACGTTTTCCATGGAGATAAAGTGGAGTGACTATATCGAATCAATAGCTGCATCTACTGCAAGAAAAGTTGGGTTATTGTGTCGTGTCAGATTTTTTTTCTTGCACATTTACAAATTTACCATTTGTCCATGCATTGAATACTGTTGTCATATCTAGCCTGGAGCTCCTGCCGTTCATCTAGAGATTCTTGACAAAATCCAAGGAAGGATTTGTAACATAATCGATCCTGGCCGTGCATTTCGACTTTAGTCACATTCTCAACGACATCACATGACTTTCCTTAGTCTTTTCCCCAAATATTTTAATGGCAACTGTTCTGACTAGATTTTTCCCTGGTGCCCCGAACATGAATTTAAACGTGCTACTTGATTGACATCTAGGTCCCACCCTTTTACTGTAGATATAACTAAATGCAATCGCCACTTCTGCTCCAACAGTTTCTATTCTCATTCCCCTCCACCTTGAAACGCTTTTTCGTTTCCTTGCATCTCTGATAACTACAAGCTTCAAAAATTTAAATGTAACGTCAATCGCCATCTTTTTTTTTTGTTAAATCCTATTCATCTTTTCTCCTTTCCTCAATCCTCCCTATTCTCAGTCTTTTCTTTCACTTTCATTTCTTGTACCCCCCCCTGCATACTAGTGGCATTACCGCCTTGCTTGCGGTGAAATCATTAAAAAAAATTTTGAAGATCAGTTGGCTGGAAAGCATAGAACTGAAAGAGAGTTCCACAAGTTCCTTAAAGAACTTTTGTTTCCTAAAGAGAAAGGAGCCATACCACATATACAGAGTCAAATTATTACCTTCATATTCCAAGGAGAATGTTACACTCAAACAGCTTCTTCGCCAGAACTGTTGCATTGTGGAATAGACACCCCAGAGGATGCTTCCTCAGTCACTACAATCTTAACCTCTTTAAGTCTAGGATCAACCATTTTACATATCCTCATATCTCTTTCTCCCTCCTTGTAGGCCCTTATTTAACCTCATTTAATAACCTCTACCTTGAGTGGCTCTTGGGCCTTATATTGGGTAAACAATAGTAAGAAAAAAAGCTTCAGTAGTACACAATGAGACCTAACAGCCTGACACAAAGTTAGTAGTTGACTGTACCTGAGTCTTAATGATGACTTGTAATTACTGAACAGGTAAGACGTTGATTAATTTCAGTGTTCAAGCATGAAAACAAGTGCTTTTAACAAGTGTTTGATTTTTAACAAGCAATGTGTGACTTGATTGTAAAAAATATCACACATAAATAAGCCTACTTGGTAGACAGCAATAAACTGTTAATTGGAAAACTAATTTTTCAATATATTTGTCTTGAAAAAAATGTTAGAAAACAAAAGATTTGGGTATTGTTTGAAACGATTTTTGCGTGACAAATATTGACTTACCTCCCTTATATTTCTTTTATAAATCCTTTTTTTTTTAACTATACATTCATCATGTCAGGTATAAAAAATAAAAAGGATAATAATAGTTTCGAAAAAATATCACAGTCAACTATAAAAAAAATCCTACATCAAGAAAAAAAATGGACATTTTTTTTTGAGAAAGACAGCAAAAAACTGTTAATTGAAAATTGCAGTTAAGAATTTTCAATACTTTGTTTTGTACTTTACTTCACTGTCGCGGAAAAAACAGCATAGCGTGAAAAAATGCTACAAACTTAAAGAAAATAAAAAAAAAAGTTATTTTGAAAAAGTATTTTTAATTATTTTTGTATTGTTTGTTAAAACGATCGCGGCGACGTTTTAACATTGTTTTTTTTGCGTTTTTACCGTTGACAAATATTTGAAACTTTAAAAATAAAATAATTGTCCAATCTTAATGAAATTTTATATTTTCAATGAAATTATTTTTTATAAATAAAATTTATTTTTTTAAAATAGTTTCATTTATAATTAATGAAATTTCGCCCAAAACCTTTTTGGTTCCTGAATTTTTTTTTTTTTAGATTTTAAATCACAAATTTGAGCTATTTAACTGAAAATGAATTGAAAAATAATGAATCAATAAAAATGATAATAATTAGAAAAGCTTTTTTGCGAAATGGAATATAATTTATTTTTTCTGATGAATAATTAATTTTTTCAACGTTTTTTTAAGAAATTTTTTTAATAATTTATAATAGTTTTAAATCGTGTAAAGCTCTGTATTAGGAAAAATAATTAAGTAGAAAAAAATTTACGAACCAAAATTCTAAGTTTAATAAAAGCTTACTTTTTAAAAAAAAATGTTGTATTTTTTACTTATACATTCCTTTTTCCATGTATGATATACAGAAAAAGATTATTATAACAAGGTTGATCTAAGGGTTTTGTCCCTTTACGTGGCCTTTTTCAAAACATTTCGTTTATTAACAGATTGTATTTTCCGATCAGCTGTAAAAAAAGTGTAAACTTTAAATTTTAAATTATTTTTTCTTTTTTCATTTACTATTTCACTAAATAATTTTATGTATTGTATTTCCAAAACAAATGTGGTCATCAGTAGTAGCTGTCATTCGTCAATCAATCATTATCAGTAAGATCGAACAACTGAACGGGACTGCTCGTTAATAATATATTATTTTTTTATGCTATAAGTAACAAAGATTTCTTTTGAAATCAGATTACTTTAACTTTAAATTTTTTTAATTTTACTAAAATAACGTGTCAGAATTTTTTTTTAAATATTTTAAAATCGATAAATTTGTGTTTGTTTACAAATTTCTTAAAATTAAGAAAATGGCTGTTTTTAAGAAAATTTAAAATTTGAAATTAAATTTGACAATCAAATGTATATAGTTTCTATCTGAAATACACCAGAATTCTTTAATTAATAGAAATCGTAAATTTAATTATTAAACTTTCAATTAAAGCTAAAATGAAATCTTCAAGAATGTTTTTCGTTGTAAAAAATTCATTTTAAACTTCAATATAGAAAATTTATGCCGAAATAGTGGACATACTTACTTTTTACGCAATGTTGCTGTTCCAAATGAATTCTGCATTAAACTAAATTACGTCATGAGGGCTGGGAATATAAAAACCAGAAAAAAAACAATTATTAGGGGAATTTAAGGGCGGTAAATGTTGAAAACGTTAGAAACTATATCCAAAGATTTCATTCAATGATCTCTAGTAGCTTTCAAGCCGGAAGTAATCTTACATGGAACAGAAGTTACGGAAAAAAAATGTATTGTAAAAACAGTAAAATGTTGATAAAATGCAAACGTTATAAAAAAAAGTTCATATTCAAATAGCCAAATACAATTTAGTAATTTCGATATTTTTTATAGAATGTAAATAAATTCAAAAATATTAGTTAGACTAAAGATAAAGAATTGACCAATAATGTATGTATCGTAAGTGAGTGTGGAAATACACGGTTCACTTCCGCTATTTTCCTGATGTAAACAAAATCAGTGAACACTTTGCTGTCACTGTTCATTTTTTTTTTTTTTTTACTTATCAAAAGACTAAACAAAAACAAAGGACGGCTGCCAAAATTCAACCTTCAAACTGGCCTCGGATATGTGGTCTCCCACTGATTCCCCATGGTCACCAATAGAATCTCCCCTTAATCAGGTAAAATAAAAAAAAATGAATATTTTAAAAATTTTATGACTTCTTTTTTTACTGTAGTAAAAAAAATATTGTTTGTTTTTAGTGAATTCGATGAACTAATTCTATTAATGTAAAAAAGAGAAGTCCACATAAATGAATAATACTTTAAAAAATTGACTAAAGCTTGCAAGTAAAAAAAAAGATCATTTTTTTCTTTTATTGAACATTGAATATTGATTTTATTATTATATTTAAATTTAATTCATCAATGTTTTATTTTCTTACAAAAGAAAAATATAAAAGCTGATATTTTTTTTATTCAGCATTCTGAAGGAACATCATTTTCTTACGTATTTATTGTGAAACCGTAAAAACGTTTCTCTGACGCAATGACTTGAAGAATGCAAGTCAAAGTTACTCTTTAACATGTTTTCCAATTTTACACGTTGATAAAAAAAATATTTTAAAAAATTACCAAAATTATATTGTTTCTTTGTTTGTTTTTTTTTTTTAATAAAAAAATAAAAAGTGAGAAAATGATTTGTACCGTTGTCTTTTTTTTAACAGTGACACAGAGTATGAATCAGCGATTTGGTGACAATTAAGACATGCTTATGTCACTTTTTAGTTTTGTGTTTTTTTTTTAGAAACGTCTTGCTTTCATTTCTTTCTCAATTTAGTACACACAAACAAATCCAATCGATTACTCAGTGTTAGTTATTTATTTAAATGAGAGATTTTTGTTCTTATAATTTAGGACATTTGATTAGTTTTGTTAATTTTTAACTTAAAAAAAAAGTAAAGCGTTTTTAGTTTATTTAAGTTTTTAGTAGTAATTATTTACTAACTAGTAGTGTTTTCAATGATCTTATTTTTTTTTAAAGAAGAAATTTACTTGTAACAATAAAATAACATTTTATATTTTATCTTCTTTTGAAATTCTTTGGAGTCTTTGACGAATGTAAATAAAAGATAGCAAAATTCAAAATTGGCACTAGACTGGTGCTCCGTAATAAGGATTTTTTTTTTCCCGGGGTAAAATTCTTTAAACAATAATAACATTCATAGACCTTCGTTAATAAGTTAATTGTATGACATTTTGTCAAAATCGAAAAATATTTTTTTTTATCTATTTAGAAGCGAGATCCAGTAAAATAAAATTGATACCTTTTTTTTTAGTTTTTATTTTTTACACTACAGTTATTGGACTTAATTGTTATTTTTACATGTCACCGAATTCATGAACCAACACTAATCCACTAGGCTTACCAAAGTTGATAGATTTGTAAACTATTGCATTTTTTAAAATCATTTCTGAATTTTTATAACTTTTTTTTATTAGTAATCCTTAGTTATCTAGTTTCGTTATTGCAGCAATTCTCGGTAAATTTTCATTTTAACACCCGAGCGTCATTCACTGCTGAACTATTTTCTTTCAGAAATTAGTAGGCGCTTCCGTAAAGCGATTTTTTTGTACTTAATTTAAGAAGGAAGTTAACAAAAGAAACAAACAGCACCTAACCCTAATTTGAAAGTTAACTTCCTTAAAAAAAAATAAAAGAATAACCAAAAAAAAAAAAAACACCTAACCCTAATTTGAAACTTAACTTTCTTCTTAAAAAAAAAATACTTTGTTATTCTTTTATTTGTCGATGTTTATATTTGAAAGTTAACTTTCTTAAGTACAAAAAAAAAAAAAAATCACTTTACGGAAGCGCGTACTAATTTCTACAAGGAATTACTGTGAAGGAAGTAAATAGGCCCAAATTGTATATGTCCACCAACAAAATTCAGCACTGAATTACTTATCAATAAGCCGGTAATGGCTGACGAAAGACCAAGAAAAAGTCAGATTTTTTTCGGGTCGTTAACATCCAAGAAGGTAGGTTTCTTTAATATCTAATTGTTGATTTGAGTTCAGCATATACATTTGCACAAAAATAAGACCATTTTAGAAAAACAACATTCACCTGATGAAGGCTGGAGGGCACAACACCCGAAACACTGTGATAACAACAAAGATGAGGATAATAGTCCACATGTAAATAATGTAAATAATTATGGTGGGGTTTGAATAAAATATATTAAATAGCTTTAAAAAAAAAAATTAAATTTAGGAATTAATGGTAATGTCACAAGTTTCTGCAGTGCCTGCATATATAATTGCAATAAGTAATGAACATAATTACTAAGATATCTGATTAATAAGTGTCATTAGAAGATGAGACAGGTATTTAAGGACTAATTTGTAGAAAGGGGCATCCACTACTATAGTTATTTTTTTCACTTTGAACTGAAAAATTTACTGAAAGCTTTTTTTTTTTTTTTTAAAGAGAGACTATATTTGTCTGTTTTGTCATTGAATTGATGTATCTCCTGGATTTCAGATGTTTTATTCACTTTTTTCATTTGTATGTAAACACAAAGTTAAGCTCAAAGAATTGCTTTACAAAACTGATAATCACAATTGATAAAAATCTATATATTATTTTATCAAATTTCCTAGAAATCTGCTTATGAACAATCTGACATAATAATGTATTTTATGTTGATTTGCTTTTGTTTTCTTCCTCTTTATGATAATGATTGTTATCTATTTGAAATTAAGTTTTGAACTCTGTTGTATCCATGTTGTTCTGTATTGTACAATTTCAACAATCATTCCAAGACAAGACCCATGATGGCTACTATAACTTGGAACTTTATGTAAATCTTTTTAAATGTAATTTTAAAAATAAATTAGAAATGACTAGATTTTCCTGAATATAAAACCTTTGACAAATTTTGGTCTTATTAAATAAAGATATACACAATTTCTTTCTAGTTCAGTATTTCACCCTATTCAGCAATATATATAAATTCAATTTTTTCAGTGTCACTATTATTGGACAACCAAAATACACATTCAGTTTCTTAATTAAAAGACCATTTTTTTCCAGCATTCCAAGTTGTAAAGTATCCACTATTCATCTCTTGTTACAATTTGCTTAAAAAATAACACATTTTCATTACATTTGAGTACTGAGCTGAATATGGAAAGATTCAGTTCATTAGTTGTTTTTTTTGTTTTTTTTTTCTCTCTCTCTCTCTCACATCAACATCTTGGTTATCTCCCCCTGTTCCTTATTTTCACTTAGTCTCTTTATTTGATTTCTTCTTTCTGGTCATAGAAAAGTGTTCAACAATAAACTTTCCAAACTTTTTGACATTTTATATCAGTCACAGTATCTTCTCCATAAAATGCACAGATCTTTTGAACTGCATTTTTACCTTAATAAGAAAAAAAAACATCCAATTTTGAAAATTTAAAAAATAATTACAAATGTCAAATGATAGTCAAGTGACCTTTTTGAACAAAGTTAGTTAAAACTACGTGCACATAAAGCAGAACAACCATTTTTAGACTATCCAATATTTTTTCTTTCCTGACTTGTGATTATTTATAATTTGCCTGTTTGTTGTAGGCGCATCAACAAGCTCGTCAAGCTGATCTCTATGTGAAATCTGGCAAATATGAAGAAGCTATTTCATGTCACAAAAGAGCTGCAGGTGAGATATAGATTTTTTTAATATCTTATAAAGCTTTTCTGACTTGGTGAAAATAAAAAGAAAATACAAGTGGCTAAAAACAAAAAATAATTGCTACAAATAAAGTATTTATAACAGCTGTAATAATGTGAAATCCATTTATAATAGTTATCAATATGCATCACATACTTAAATAAAAGGAGAGTGAAAAGTATCAAGAATGAAAATATGAATTATTATTTGTACTTGTTAGGGCTCAAGTGATCAGAATAGTTTGTTTTAAGAATGTTAAATAAAAAACAAAACAAAAAACATTACTTATTCTTTCTGACAGGATTGGGCAGATATAGAAAAATTCTTGAATACAAGAAACATTGATATTTAACATTAATCAAAATTCTAATATTCACTTAAGGTAATTTTATAATTTCAATTCATGAGCATTTTCATATCATTACATGATTAGAAAAAAATTAAAACACTGTTTATTACATAACAACATGGTCACACTTTATTATTGCCTGTTAGATTCTGCAATAAACAATTTTAAATTGAGACTTGTGGAACTGCAATGAATTGTTGACTAGTATGAAATGACCTAGTAACTTAGTAATTTGTATGAACATTTAATGAAATCTGTAAATTGTCGTACATATACTATTCATTTCTATTGGACATTAACTAAAATTGAAAGAAAAAAGAACTGAAGCGAATAATGCACAAAAATGCATGTCATTTTAATGTTTTATATCTTTCTTTTTTTTTTTTTTTATTGGAAGTCCTGTTCGAATTTATTTTTTTTTTTTTAAAGTTTTTTTTTTTTTTTTTCTAAAGGGTAATGAAGCTGAGATTAATATTCACTCTATGAATTCAGACTTAGCTATTGCACTGCTGCTGAAGCCACATGCAACATCAACAATGCTTGAGTGCTGTGGCTAGTCTCAGAATTAATAATTAATATAAGTGCCATTAGTTCTAAAATTTTGCTTCTGGTGATATGGATCTCTGATATTAAACTTGATAGTGGTTGTAAGTCATCATCTGACAATAATAAAAGAAAGAAAGCTCTGGAAGCTCATCCAGAAATAAATACTTGGGCTTTTGGAGCAAATCTGGGAGTAACCCATACAACAGTCAGAAGACATCTAGTATAAATTAATGTCTGCTAGTTTAACCATGACAACATATTTTGAGTTTACCTTCTTTTTGTTTTTTCTAGATTTCACAGAATTGATCATATCTTTGCATTATTTATTTGAACAAACCATCATGATCATAACAAGCACACTGCCATTTAGTGCTGCCAATGCAAGTAAGATAACTGCATTAAATGTTATCACTATTTGATGAAAAATATCCAAATACACTTGTCTTATTATACAGTAATAGAAAAAAATGAATTGTGCTATTTTTTTTATTTGTTTCTCTGACTCATTAAAACAGATGTATAAAATTAACAAATAAATCTTTTCTTGATTTGAATCTTCAGCTTGAAGATGAGCAAGTGACATCTATTACATCAGCATTCTGATGCTTGAACAGCATGCTAAAATTAATTTACAAATACTCAATTAAGAGTACACACACACTACACTGATCAGGCATAATGTACAGATATTCTGATCTGAAGCATATTCTATATTTAAATAATCCTGTATTTTTAAGGGCATAAGAAAAGGATGTATTTTCTCACCAAACTTATTCAACCTTTGCAGTAAAGCAATGCTGAGAGAATTAGAAGTCCAACCAGAATTCATTATTGGTGGCCACAATCATTATTGGTGGTCACAACATAAAATATGCAGATGACACAGTTTTGATAGCAACCAGAGAAATGAAACTACAGGAACTCCCACTGAAGGTAGTAAAGGAAAGCAAGAAGAAAGGATTAAACATCAATTGTAGGATGGCAGAATGTATGGTTGTCAACAAAAGGAACATCCCAACTTGCAAATTTCAAATTGGAGATACCAAAATTAAGCAAGTAAAAAAAAAATTAAATATCTATGAAGTATTTTAACAGAGGACAGAAAATGTGGCACTGAAATATGAAAGGCACGTTGAGTTAGTGAAAAATACCTTCCAAAAGCTAAGCAAATTATTAAGAAATGGGAAAATTTTGTTAGCAACACAGAAAAGAGTACTGAACTATTATGTATTATCATTCCTCCTGTACAAGAGTAAATGCTGGACAATCTCATCACAGATGATGAAGAGACAAGGCAGCAGAAATGCAGTTCTACAGAAGGATGCTGAGAATACCATGAATTGAACATGTGTGTGACAATGAAGTTTTATAGAAAAATGGAAACAAAAAGGACAATCTATACTTAGCATCAAGAAAAAACAGTTGAAATTTTTAGATCACATAATGAGAAAAGAGCTTGGAAAATTTGACACTCACAGGACATACTGAAAGCAAAACAGACAGAGGAAAGCAGCACATAACCTACTTTGTGTAAATGGTTGGCAAATGGTTACAAAGAAGAGGAAATTGTAGAGAGCCAAATGCTCATGTTCTGAAGGAACATGGTACATAGAAAAAGATGTTAGTATATATTTCATCATTAGCCTTGTGAATGAGGATTCTGGAAGGTCTGTAGGCCTGTTGCAGGTGTGCCAATGATGAGATGTGTGTTTCTATAATAGGTGCAGAATCAAGATTGGTAAGTAGAGAGAATGCTAGATTTACCAGGCTCTGACAATTGGTTGTTTGATTTGGGTTTTCTCTTATGTCTGTTTCACTTAAATGTTTTGAGAGCTTGTTTATTGCTGAGCTGTCTATTGACCCCATTCTATTCTAACAAAATGAGATCAATAGACAAGGATTGGAGAATAATGGAATTGTTGAAGTAATCTGAAATTTCCTCTGGTATACCTGAACTCTATGTATTTAAGCATAGTACTAGATTGGAAACAATCATTGTACAGTCAAAATGACTAGATGTAACTGTAAGTTCTATGCCAACAGTTTCTTTTCATGCACTTCTCGCTTGTGGAACTCTCTTCCAATTTCTTGCTTTCCAGTCAAGTTTGATCTTCAAAAATTTAAATGCAATGTCAATTGTTCTGTCCTGTCATTTTAATTTCGCTTCTTTTATTGTTCTCACTCTTTAATAATGTTTTTCTTATATTCTTTCACACTCAGTAACCCTTTGTATGTTAGTGGTGTTTGTTGTCTTGCTTGGGATGAAATGATTAAAAAAAAAAAATAATGAACATGTAATGTATCTAAAGAACTTGATTAGCAGACTAAGCAGATTAGTGGCTCTCACAAATTGTCAATCTCTAGATTAACAATTTGTGAGAGCCATTAATAAAATAGCCAGTAAACCTTAGAATTCCAGAGACCTGGCCTAAATGATGGGAGCACTAGCAAAGTTCAACAAGTACATTTAAGGTCAGGAGATAATCTCAAGAACACAGACACATCAGAAATGATATGTATGAGAGAAGAAGTGTATGCTCTCTCAGAGTATGATTTAGTGACATTCTAGAATACATATACCTGAGGATGTTTGATATTTCAAGTCAAGCAGACTTGAAATATCAAAAAAAAAAAAAAAAAAAATGTGGGGAGCAAAGACTAGGGAGTTCATCCCCAGCCCACATACAATGTAAGAATGTGCTTTATTAAAATCAATAAAATAAAAAAAATTTTTTACTATTATAGCTCATGATGCAAGCACTCAATATTTTTTTTTAATTTTAAATTAGTAAATAAATGTATCTCCTTAACACTTGGAGATTACATTGTATGTGTGTTATTCTGTCTATCTTATAGGATATGTGGGTGGTATAAATTGATAGTGGCTTGGAATGAGAACTCAGAGACCCAAGTTCAAATTTCAGTCTGGTTTGTTACATTCACTTGTGCAAAAATGCCTTTGTGAAAGATATGAATCCATTTCCTCTCTCTAACTATGGGTTAAGTAGTAGAATTTATATCTGGAAAAATTGCTATTCTCAAAAAATTGTTAATGCAATATTGACTTGCAAAAACAGCATTATTCTTACAATATAAAATGTTTTGACTTTAAGTAACCTGGAGTTATAAAAAAAAAAAATTATCACCGTCCTTCTAATAAAATTGTTAATGTTTGAATTATCATTAAAAAATTTAATATTTTCTTAAAAGTACAGAATTGTTATGTCATTGTTAAACTTGTGAACATATTTTCTATTACAGAATATATTTTGAATGCTATGGTGAAGGCTACTTCTAACCAGGCGAAAGATTCTTTGCAACTTCAACATAGACATCATTTCCGACAGCAAGACATTATAAGACAAAAGATGAAACAATCAAAGGTAGAAGAATTAAAAAAGGCAGAAACTTTGCATACTGCTGGTGCTGGGGCAGCACCCTGTTCCTCTGATTCACCTAAAACTGATTCTGAAAATATTGATCCTGCAACGTTTTATCGTACAGTGGACGAATCAGACACTCTGATTCAGTTTCTTATAAAGCGAAATCGCTCACAAAATAGCCAATTAAAAATCCCTCTGTGTCCTGTGAGTCCTGTTGAAGGAGCTACTGGCATGACAAAACTGCCAAAGGATGACAAACAATTGATTGAAGAACTTCGGATGCATAATGAGGACTTGCGAAAACATGTTTATAATCTGCTGAAAGAGGTTGAAAACTATCAGGAAGAGAACGAAGCTTTAAGGCTTAAAGTAGAAAAATTAGAGAAAGAACTTTCCGGTGTGCATTGTGAAAAACGGACTCCTAATGAATTTGAACGTTTTGTTGATGAAGCGCTCCCTCCACTTGAAACTCCAGACTTTAATTTTGAGGGCCTTAACATGCGGCACCTTTGCACTCCTCCCAAAATGGAATCCTGGTAGCTTTTGTCTAGTGAACAGATAGAGTTCTATTCCAAATGTGAAATTAAAATATGTCTATATCTGTGTACCTAGATGTAAAGCATGTTATTTATCAAATACTTATTCTGAATTATATCTGCAGTAGATCTTCCAAAAAAAAATTCATTTGATAACCTGGAGCTCTGTTTTGGTTTCACTTCTAGAATATCTATCTGTATTTTTTATTACACACATACATACACATTTTTGCATTTTCAATATTCATTGAACCTTGCTGAGCATGTAAATGTTCATATAAAGGGAGTTGTCATAAAATCTGTGTGCAATTTTAAATACTTATAGTTTTGTAAGTATACATGACAGAATTAATGCGTGGAAAAGAAAATATAACGAAATGTGCTAATTTTATTGTAATGTTGTTCTACAGATACTACACTTCACTTACATTTGGCCTGCAAGACCATCATTGATGGAGCCTGTTTTTTGAAACTTTTTCACCCACCTGGATATGAAATTCTTGTATGGTGTTTCTTTATTGCAATGTGTTCGAAATCAGGACACAGTGGAGTAATGGTTATCGGCTCAAATTGAGGAATCAGAGCCGAGTTTGAATTCCAGTTGAATCCATTACATTCACTTACATGCTAATATCCTTGGGAAAGGTATGAATCCTCTTCTTCTCCCCACCCAGCTATGGGTAAATAGCAGGACAGACCGGGTTCTATAGCCTTGGACTGTAACTGGTTTACTGCAGAAAGAAATGGCAACCTACTGCAGGAAAAAAAATCTGCCTCGTCAGTCATGTATCAAAAGATACATGATCATGTAAGCATGTATCACGCATAGCACATAACTGATTGACTGTTCAAAATCTTAGTTGAACAGCAATGACAGATTTTAGCTCAGCCAACCAAAAAAGGCAGTTTACTTTCTTTTCTAATGAAGCCATAGATTAATAACATTTCTCGAAAAAATAGTCATTTAGAAGTTTCAAGAAAAGGATAAAGAATAATAGGTGAAAAGAACAACAGTTTTTTTGAGTAACAAGAAAAAAAAATAAGACACATCAAGCTTATAAATATTTCTTACATGTTAATTTTATCCTGTATAGCTCCAGAAAGAATATTTTAAACTGTATACAGACTTTATGATAAACTCCCAATATATATATATATATATATATATATATATATATATATATATAACGTGTGTGTGTGTTAAATTGTATGCATATTATGTATGTGCATGTATACTTGAAAAACTAAGCAAAAGATTAGGTCAAGTTGAGGCTCGCCTCACTCCAAATATGTCACCTGGATTTCTTGTTTAACTTTGATTACTCTAACATGGAGATGACCAATTAAAACTAGTTAATGTTAATATTAATAGCTATAATACATGATTCTTAATGATCTTCCACGTTGCATGGTGTCAAATTTTATTGGTATGAGAAAGATATATGCTAGACTAGATCTATATTTCATTGTTTCCTTGATCAAAGTACATCTTTAACTCTCTCTTTCTCTCTACACACACACACACACACACACACATACATATATACACACACACACACATATAAGTCTTTGCTTATATGTGTACATTATGTGATCAATAGTAGATATTTCATATGTACCTGTTCTTTCTGTATACATATATACGGTTTGTGAAATTAATAAATAAACTTCTATTAATTATTTTCTGAAAAGTAATAATTTCAAATGAATTGTCGTTTTTAATGATTACAATGTCTAAGAATGATACAGAATTGTGTTTTTCATACTCAACTGAAATTTATGTTCTGATATTGAGACATTAAATAATTAAAAAAGAACAGGTCATTTTTTTTTTTTTTTTAAATACATAAGATATCATCTACATATTGGCAATAAAATATAGACAAATAGGCCATCATACTTGCCTAACTGTACTTTCTTGTCATGCCCTATAAATAAATTAGCAAGAACTGAAGCCAAAGGAGATATCATTTCAACTCCATCAATTTGGTTCAAATATTTCCAATTATACTAATAGAGTCTATAATATGAATTAATATTAAGTATTTTATCTTGTCCTTCATTTTATGTCCTTTAGGGCATTCATACAAATGTGCTAAAATAGATACTCTTAGGTAAATATTTTTATGTTTCATTGTTAATAAGATTTTTATTTTTTATAGACTATTTTTATAAAAAATGAACATGCCCTGTCCTTTTTTTTTTTTTTTTTTTTTTTTTTTTTTAATGATTTAAAGTCTCAATGAATTTCACAGTCAAGTATGAAAAACTTAGGCATACTGATCACTAAAAATGACAATTCATTTGAAACTAGTACTTTTTATAAAATAACTAATAGCTATCTATTTACTAATTTCACAAGTTTTATTTCTGAAATTTATAAAATATATAATGTGTGTGTGTCTGTGTGTGATTTTTGTTATTTACATGATATTTTTCTTACTACTTAATTGGAAATGTGAAAGTGTTTAACTGAATTTAGTTGGGTATTAAGTGTTTTTTTGTATAAACAAAAATCAGTTATTAAATTAAAATTTTAGTCAAATTGATAAAAAATGTTGATAAATTGAAAGCAATTCAAATGTTTATCAATGATTTATGTAAATTCTGTAGAGTTTCAAAAATATTCAATCAGTTGAAAAATGAATATTTGAATTTTATTGTTGAATGTATTGATTCTAAGAAAATTACTTCTAATATTCTATAAACTGTGTTGTTATCCTTGTTGCTTCTGTTATTACATTTTTTTTTTTTTTTTTTTTTTTTTTTTTTTTTAAGTGTTTTTCAGGCTGCTGGTTGAATTTTAATCATCTTACTAACCTTCTTATCAAGATTAAAAAAAGTGAATATCTAGAAAAATATTATACACAAGAATTCTCATAAAAGAAGCTATAAAAATTGATTAAAACTGACTCTGATTTAAATCATCCTGATTTTAGGGTAGAAATTCTATGTGGAATCAACCCCAGTATTAACATTTGAAGATAAAAAGAAAAATCAAATTTTTGTTTTTTCATTACCAGTGTATTTTTTTTTATTGTTCACAGCAATTCTAAAAAATAACCTAGGATTATACAGGGTGATTGAAAAGTAACCCCTACCCCCACACCATTTTATGCATGATGGACTCTCCCATCTTTTAAAAATTATACTTAGATGGGAGAGTCCATCATATATAAAATATGGAGTTACTTTTCAATCAACCTGTATATAAAAACAAAAATCACACACAGACACACACACACACACACACAAAGACACACACACACACACACACACACACACACACGATTAATAAAAATAAAATTTGTCACTTAGGTGATTGATTTTATATCCAGCACTTTGACTCTAGATTTTCATAGATTAACTTTTTTTTTTTTTTTAGAATTGTTCAATCCACTCAGGAGGTTTCAGCAGTTAATTGTCATTTTTCTCATTTTACATTTTCTTTATAGTAATTTTGATGATGCAATCAGTTCATGCACTAGCTGGCATACTCTTATTATTGGTGTTTGGTTATTTTTTTTTTCTCTTTTTGTGTGTTTGTGTGTGTGTGTGTGTGTGTGTGTGTGTATATATATATATATATATATATATATATATATATGTTGTATATCATGGTTATTTCTCTTTTTCAGCATTTTCTTGTCTCTTTATACTTTCTCCCTGTATATACAGAGAATGCAAGATGTAAACAAAAAAAGACTTGAAGTATTTTTTTACTGTATAAATTTGGCCATTCAACATTGTTTATAAATAAGTAAAGGAAATCCTTAAGTACCTTAATAAAAATAAACTAAATTTTAAAACTGTTTCTATGAAGTAGAAGTCACATATAATATTTCCTGTACAGAGTGCGATGGGTATATGGTCGCCATTTTATATTTTTAATTTTGTGCATGCACATTGTTTTAGATTTTGTCAACTGCACAATAAAGTAGTCTAATGGTGATTACAAAGGTTTTTGGAGTGATCATTGGTGATGGCAGCATTATGCCTCCATTCATCTTCCCACTTGACTCAACAAAGATGCCTAAATCAAGTGCCTTGAGTAGGTAGTACTGCCCTGGGTCAAGAAGGTGGCTGATAGAAGACCCTATGTTTGGCAACAGGAGAATCCAGTCATAGCTGTCAGACAATTTCTGTGACCATATCACTCCTTACATCTGGCCACCTAACTCCCCAGACTGCAACCCCCTTGATTTTTATGTGTGGGGTGCAGTTGAGCAAGAGATCAACAAAACTCCTTGTAACACCAAAGATGAACTAAAGGCAAGGATTATGGCAGCATTCACCAACTTAAAGAAGGAGACTGTCCAGAAGAGTTGCAGGAGATTCTGAAGTCATCTGGAGGCTGTGGTTGAAGTCAATGATGATTTTATTGAATAAATTAACTCTTTAGTATTTCAAGATATTTTTGTGTAATTTTGGTAAATATATCTGTTAAATGAGAGGTCAGTGTTATTTTCATTTTTGCATAACTCATATGACAATTATATTTATCGCATTTGGTAAATTTGCTTTTTAACACCCGCACTAAATATCTCTTAAAATCTTCACAAATCATCATAATTCCATGTAAATGTACATGGTGAACTCGAATTAACAATTAAATTATAAAGAAACCTACTGTTTTGGAGTTATCAACAAGAAAAAATCGGACCCCTTGTTGGTCATTCGTCCCCCATTACTGCCATCATAAACACTGATTCACTGCGTAGTACTTCTGCTGGCAGAAACAAAATTTTGGCCTATTTACTTCTTTTACAGATTTTTCTTGCAGAAAATCACTACGCACTACCGTAAAGAAATGTAATTTTTTTTTTGGTAAGTGTAGTTTTATTTATAACTAAAACAAATTAAATAATACAATAGAATCTTTTTTTCCGCGTTGAATGGCAATGACAAATTAAAAGAACAAATTAAATAATACAATAAACCAGGTTAATTTTAGGGTTAGGTGTTACGGTTGTGTTTGGCTTCTTTGTAGAAAAGGGGACATTA